ACTCAGCATATCTTCAAAGCTAGGTTGTGGGACCAACTTTGGAATAGTTCTAGCTAGTGAATTACTACTTTCATGGTTGGTTCCCTTTCTAGTAATTCTGGTCATCAACAGATTGAAAAGGGTGGAAAAACTTCTGTAAATTGCAGTGGGAGCAAGTTCTTTATTGGTTTTGTGCTACTTGCCTTTCTAGACCTGCTCATCAGCATTCAACCTTCCTTCTAAGGATAAGGTTACTGAAGAAGCTTGAAGTAGGTAAAGAGTGCCCTCAATGGTAAAGAGTGCCCCTCCCACTCCTCTTTATCCAGCAAATTTCATTCAATGCCTTAGCCAAGGAGTCCACACCTGTCTTCCCTGCTAATAATTGTCCTTGGAGATGCTAGTACTTAATCCAGGTATAGCAGTTTCCCATTATTTCCTTGCTTGTCTTGTCCTCACATTTCCTCCTGACTTCCCAAGGCTCTTGTTCTAGCTTTTGAGGGCCAGCTAAGGAGCAGACAAGTGAGTGAATAATACTCAGGAAAAGAAGGACCATTCTGCTTCTGAACACTGTTCCCTTTTTTAGAAGAAAGTATACAAACAGGCTAAACTCACTTCTTGAGGGGTAGATAGTTGATGCTGTGTATGAGAGATGTACAGTAATGGAATTGAGATGCTTCCAGCTATTCAAGGAAGCTTGGAAATACCATTACAAAGCCCCCAAGATGATGATGTTTGCAAGACCTCTTAGAACTAGGAAGTCATCAGGGCTAATTTGAGGAGGGCTCAGTCTTCAGAACAGTCCTGCAGTCTTGACAGAAATCTAAAATCTCCAAAACTCCTACCCTTGAACCTTACCCCAGGAGAAGCTATTCTATGAAAATTACGTGTATGATTATGAAAGATGTAGTTGAGTGAGAGGAGTTGAGGAATCTGGAGGAATAGCGAGCTCTCACCCTAACTCTCTATAAGAAGCATGATCTCAGTAGACCAATATTTCGCCTTTTTATACATCTGTAAATAAATGGAATGTTTTTAAGAATATAATTATGTCAGATTTAGCTTTTTCTTTTATATATTAAATATATATCTTTCCTTTTCTGCTTTTGAAAAAATGACTATTTTTTTAGAAACCTCAGAACAGAAGTTTGGTGATTGAAAGGCAGAATGTTATAAACTTGAAATAAATAAATCAGTTATAATAATTAAAGCAGGACTTGTGTTGGGAGGTTTGTGCAGAGTTGGAGTAGAGAATTCTAATGCCCTGAGACATATCTGAGAGAGGTGTCACTAAAGTAGTTTTATCATAGGAATTTCTTAACTGTTTCCACAGTTTCTGACAATACTATTTAGGAGAGGTTTTTGGTGTTCTAATCCTTGTAGATTGTTTTACATGGGATTTCAAAAGTTTGTACAACTTGACAGCAAGTATTTGTCTCAAGAAGTTGTTCTATGATGAAGAAAGGCTAGCCTCATAGTACTAATGTGTGCAAGGCATTACCCCTGTCACCCTGTGCAAAAGCAGAATATAAACAGTCTTAGTGGCTAAGGACAGTAGGCTTCGTACAAAAAGATACATAATAACTAGTATCATAATTTACAAAAAATGATTAAAGGAGATCTTTAGACATTGAATTACTCTACAGTCATTAATAGATCAAATCCAGTTATATTAATGTCGTACAAATTACTTTGTATAATTTTATAATAAATGCAGCCCCCCCCCCCCAAGAGTTATGGATGAAATACCTTCTGTAACATGTTTTGAACACAGAAGAAAGGCAGACAATCCATGTTATTTTGGGTAGTGGATCATAGTTACAATTTTCCCCCCTAACTATACTGGTTGGAATATTGAAGTGGAATGGTGTCAGCTAAACTGAGTGGTCAGAGCGCTTTGAAAACGGGTCTACAGATTGTGGTGATAACTCTTCCTTGTTCCTCCCAGAAAATTTAAGGGGGAAAAAAATACCAAGTAGACAGCACATTTTCAGGTATTACTGTAGAGAATGATAACCCAAGAATCTATACAATTCTTGCACAAAATTGTTTTGAAGAGAGTGTAAGGGCATCAATAGTATTATCTTAGGAAATTTTATGTGAACGTGAATGGCTGGATGTAGAGAAAAATAAAGGTGAGGGATTCAAATTTATTGCCATTTGGAGGAAATAAAGCAGTCAAAATGCATTTTGAAAATTAAAGGGAAAGAATTTGATTATATACACTTTTGAACAGAGGCGTAGATTTTATATGACAACTGCTCTCCAAAGTTACCTAAGGTTGACTAATAGTGTTGGAGGTATGTGGAGGATGAGAATACCAAACCATGGGCTGAAATGGGAATTTTGAGACAAATCTAAGCTCTACTAAATTATTTATTGTGAACACTGTTAGAAGAGATTTTGTTAAATGGGATAGCAGTCTTGGAAGCATTGTTTCGAGATCCATCCTGTTTCCAGCTGCAAGCTTTGGTCTTAGTTGTCTCACAGTGCCTTGCATGTAAAGGTGCTCAATAAATAATTTGAATTGATGAGCAAATGTTTAGCCTGTTCCAGGGTCTTATAATTGCACCTATTTGCATGTTAAGCCTAGGGTGAATTTTAAAAATCTGATCTAATGAGTATAGTGCTAAGCAGATAATTGTATACATCTATTCTAGACATCTAGAATTTTAGTCTGACAACCATGTATACATGTTTAGGACATACACGAAGAATAAAAAGTGGAATAGTACATGGATAGTACATGGGGGAAATACTTCTAAATGAAAGTTAACTGCATTTTGGAGGGCGGGATAGCGAGTGTTAGGAAAAAGGGGAGTAACGCTTTTATTCACACTGGACATGGACTATTTTCTGAGGAATCCATGAAGCATGGGAACAGTCTACAGCCTTCCCATATTGACACTCCAACAGCTGCATGATGCCTAGACAGCAAAGAAGGGACTAAATTGTGAAGAATTTAAAACATTGTGGTTTTGACCCTAGACTGGAAATATCCAGATTCCAGACTTAAGGAATATTATAATTTTCACCTAAATTATCTTCAAACAGTGAAAGCAGAGGCTTGGACTGGTTCTCCAACTTTAGCTTCACGTAAGATTCATTTGGGGAACACGATGACCAGTGACACTTTGTAAGCCCATTTACCAGGCCTTGAGTGGTTAGTGAATACAAAAATCTGGAAATGGTAGTTGCTGGGGAATGCAGCACACTAGTAGGGACACCAGGTGGCACCATGTATTATGTAGCAGTGTTGACTCCTCCCATGGAAAGGTGAAACGACAGATTAGCGAGGAACAGATGTCCCATTTATAGGCTATTATGGCTAAAGACAACTTTCTCCAGATTTGGGATTTAAATGTGAAAAACCCATTTTACATTTCATAACATCTCAATGCGTGCAGGGAAGTAAACTGCTAGCCTCTCGTTGCTGTTAATTGCCATTTGCTTTTCTAGATGGTCACGGCCCTGATCTTTGTGTCACCTTGTGAGCTTTACAGATCTCGTTTTTAATACGTGGCTCCAGCTCAAATGTGTACCATACTGTTTTGCCATTTGGCTGTCCAAGACCCACCCACTGTATGGGTTAAGGGTTCTTCTGTCTTGCTAACGTATCTCCTCCAGGGGTTCCCAGTATGTGGGCGGGGGAGACATACCCCAGTGTACTATTTTTTCTGGGGCCCAAGTCTTTCGACTTAGGCTACCCTTTTCATAAGGTAATTTCTTGAAATAGCAAGAAAATAAACTCAGGCTGAAACACCTATGAAATATATAAAGGTTTTCCTGTGCTTTGTCTTTTCCCTTTCGTCCCTTCCCCCACCCCACGAGCTCAGTAAAACTAGACCACTAAGTCCAGTGCCCGCAAGCTTAACGATGACCTCGCCAAGTAACAGTACTAGGAAAAGATTTCACGACTAAATTTTGGCAGGGACCAGGAAAAGAGTGAAGCAAGGACGTCCTGGTTAACTGGGCGAAAGAACAAGAGCGCGCTGGGACACTGGAGGCTAAAAAAACGGAAACAAATCCATTACGTAGTGGCATTCACTTGCTTTCTCCCCTGTTTGCTTAAAGCTGTTTTCAAGGCCATCAGCTTCCCCTTTTCCCCCCGGTAGCCAGTCGGGCTTCCCTGTTCAAAACACGTCTTAGCGATCGGAAGTTACTCGGAAGTCTTTCCACGTAGGTCAGAGTGTCAGGGGGAAGAGGGCGCCGAGCAGGTCGCGAGCAGCAAGTCTCTAATCGCGTTCCCGCCCTGCGCCTCCCGGGAGGTGGGAGCAGCGCCCGGGGCGGCTGCTCGCTCAGCGAATCCCGAGCGGCGAGAGCGCGGTCCGGGCCTGTGGAATGCCGGCCCGAGCGCCCTCGGGGCGTGGCTCCCGGCTTGTTGGGGCGCTGGAGGCGCAGCTCTCCGGGGGGCCCGGCCCGAGGATACCATAAAAGGCTGGGTTCTCGGAATTTTGAAGCCATGCTCCGCAGACCTTCCCCGGGAGGGTGCCCGCGGCCGCGGCGCGCGGTGCCCCCGGGGCTCGCGCCCCGACAGCCCGCTTCCTAGGCCCCGTCGCGGCCCCGCCCCTCGGCCCTCCTCGTCCACTCGAAACGCCCTCCCGGGCGCAGGCCGCGCCCCTCGCCGCGCCCCGCCCCGCCCGCGCGCCCGCCGGCCCGGGCGGCAGTTCGCGTTTTGAGCCGCTGGTGCCGCCATAGCCGCCGCCGCCGCTGCCCTGCGGCCGCCGAGCGAGAAGCGCCGAGCGCGATGCCTGAGGGCGCCGCGAGCCGGGCGGCCCCCGCGCCCCGGGGCTGGTGAGGCGGGGTCCGGGCGGGGGCGCTGGCGCGCCGCAGGGTCCCGAAGGGGGACGAGGAGGGCCGGGGCGCCCGCGGAGGGCCGCGCGCCCCGGGGGGCGGCCGTGGGGGCGGGGGCGGGCGGGGGAGGCCCCCGTGGCCCGGCGGCTTCCCCGGCTCCGCGGGCTCCGCCGCGCCGCGCCGAGCGCCCCCGGCCGCCAGCGCAGGTGACCCGACCCCGGGGGGACCCCGCGGTGACCTCGGGGGCCGCTGTTCTGGGACTCTGCAGTTGCCATGGGAACAGTTAGGATTTAACGGGGATCAGTGCAAGCCTCTAGCCCTGCGAGGTGGGGCCCATCGCCGCCTGCAGTTGAACGCCTCTGCTTGGCGTGGGCCTGGCAGCTCTTCGCACGCAGCTCAGACCAACCCCTCTCTCAGGGGTCCGGCCTTCCCACACTGGGGGAGCCACACGGGATTGGAAGGCGGTGGAGGGGCGAGGGGCAGCACCTGGAGAGAAGGGCTGCGGACACCAGGCAGAAGGTGAGGTGGCCTCTGCCTCTCAGGTCAGTGCGAGGGCGTGCTGGAAGGCCCTGTGAGGCGAGAAGGCAGTGCCGCTGTTGAGACAAGTCCCAAGGCTGAGCCAGGAGCTGTCCCGGGGGCTCCTCGTTATGATGGCTGTGGAAGGGTCAACCATCACCAGCCGGATCAAGAACCTGCTGCGGTCCCCATCCATCAAGCTGCGCAGGAGTAAGGCAGGGAACCGGCGGGAGGACCTCAGCTCCAAGGTGAGTTCCAGTATTGGGAGTCACCCCTTGCCAGCTCTCCCCTCCTCTGCTCCTTGTTGCTCTTTCACCTTACTCTTTCTTGGGAAAGGGAAGAACTAGACGCTGCCTTCGGCTAAAGGATTGAATGGCCAAAGGATTGAGGGTGCCTAGTTCTGCCTCAAACAAGCAATGTTTTAGTGTCAGGTTAAGGAAGAAAGAACTGTAGGGGTGGACATGCTGAGGATTGTCTGTGAGAAGAGATGAATAGGAGCAGGGCAACCTGGGCTCAGTTGTGGCCTCACTGGAAACTTAGTCTGTGCTTGGGGAAGCCAGTTGATATGCTATGACTCAGTTTCCCTTCTTGAAAGAGGGTTAGTGGATCATGTACCCTGTGAAGGACTAAGCTGTGACTAATGTAGCTGCAAGTGTGTGTCACAGCTGAGGTTATGTAAGACAGTAGTAGCAGAAAGAAAGATGTGAAAACACCTGGTCTTGAGGGTTTGACTTGGTAAATGCTCTTGCTTGGGGTCAAAACATTTATTTGTGTCTTCAAGTGACTTATGCTAATTTAACCGGTGCTTCTTGACTTCTTGGGAGTGATTGTATACAAGGAGTCAACTCTCTGCCAGCAAAACTGTTCTCTTGGTTTGCCCTTGACCATTCCTCATCTCATTTAGTCCATGCCAGGAGCCACATCCCACCCTGCTGTAGAAGCTCCTCATAGGCAAGACCTTTTTCATTTCATCACTTGTTGGGAGTATTGGGTCTTTACACTTCCTTCGACATCGTAGAGCTGGACAACTTTGGGAAGATAAAAGTAGACTAAATTTATTTAAATCCCTTAGGGGATCTAGGACTTTGTCCTCGTAGGACAGATTAGACTTTGTTTCTTATTCTCAGCTTGTAAACACAGTAAGTAGCCTTGTGTGGTACAGGATTGCTACAGGGAGAGGCATTTGAGACGGCAGTATTTTATTGCCTTGTCTGTAAATCTTCAGAGATGAGTAAAGCCAGTGAGCAATGATTTAGAGTGCTAATGTACAACATGGCAGGATTCCTGGAGAACTTAATTCAGATAGGACTCAGTTGCTATCCCTTAGCAGAACCTTACTTGGATTTAGTCGGAAGGTGAGCAGCTTTCCTATATGTTTCAGCAGAAGTGTTGAATCGAAATTAGCCTTAAGGGTCCTTGGCAGTAGAGAAAGTGACCCTTCCAAGGACTCTTAATTACTGTTCATGTTCTCCAGAGGCAGAATGACCCTGAAACTTAAAAACCATCTTCGATTTGACTCTCTTCACTCATTGATTGTGTTGGATCATTCTTAGTACTGTAACCTTTTACATTTGCTGGTTGGTAACTTGGCAAAAAACAGCATTAATAGGGCCTCCCGTGGTGGCGCAGGCGGTTAAGTACTGCGCTGTGAAGCTGTCCTCAGCCTCTGCAGCACGAGTTCGATCCCGGCCGGCAGCGAGGGTCCCACATGGCATGGCAGACCTCTCCTGTCTTGCCCGCTGCTCCCCTCAGCAGTGTATTTCGTCAGTCTGCCTGTTCTGCTTCCCGCTGTGTCTCTGGTGAATCTTCTCACCCTCCTGCACATCTGGCCTATACCCCAGTTCTTGTGTAAATAAATAAATAAATCTTTAAAAAAACCAAAACAAACAGCATTAGTACAGAAATCTCATAACTTGGCCTGTGTTTTGACCAATTATGGTATAGTCAATAGTTGGGAGTTTAATCTTTAGTGTTAATACTTACTGTAATTTTGATCTGGAATCCAGAAGGTATGGTCACCATTCTTTAAAATCCATGTCATTCATTATTAAAACATTCAACAGATGTTGATCATGTGCCTATTATGTGTGGAATCAGTATGAATGAAATATTACCCTTGCCATCAAAGAGCTGTGGCTAGTCAGACATGTAAACAAGTAATTACAACATGGTGTGTTGTTAAGTGCTGTCACAGAAGTTTGTATGAAGGAGTTAATGACACAGGGAGAGAACCTGAACATCATAGGGGGGATTAGGAAAGACTTCTAGAAGAAGGGATGCTTGAACTGTGAGTCCTGAGGCAAGAGGAGAAGCTCTCCAGGAAAACAGTGGAAAAGGGCATCTCTGGCATCACCATTAAACATCCTTATTTCAAATAGGGAGTGCTTCAGACTGCTTTAAATGGCTTTGTTTGTCCTAGAGCTGTGAATGAAGGAAGTGCTTAGCTGAAGTTGAATGACCCTTGACAAGTCAGAGCAAGAGTGCTGGTGCATATCTTTAGCACCCAAAAGTAGTAAGCTGACTTTGTGTGCCTGGGAGCCTACAGATGTCTAACTCCCCGTACTTGTTACCCAAGATGACTGTAAAAACTTGCCTTGTGGTGACCCACTGGACCACCTAGGTGTAAGACTTCATGAACTACCTAATACGTGATGTTCTGAATAGATAGCTTGCAATTCAATGATAATTAATTCCAAACTAAAATTAGGGGCTCAAAAGGCATGTTGCCTCTTTGGAGGGGCAAAGAAGGAAGTGACAGTCTTCATGCAACTCTCATCTCAGATGGCCTGGTGCTTTAAATCATACCATTCTTGTATCTAAAGTAGCCTTTTCATCAAATTTTCCATTTATTTTTATTTATTTTTTTTAATTTTTTAAAAAAGATTTATTTATTTATTTATGCAAGCACTGGGTACAGTCAGAAGCGTGGGAGGGTGAGAGAATTCACCAGAGCCAGAGTGGGGAGCAGAGCAGGCAGAAGGACCGAAGCACACTGCTGAGGGGAGCAGCGGGCGGCAGGAGAGGTCTGCGCACCATGTGGGACCCTCCCCAGGAGGCCGGGGAGCAGCCTGGTATTGAACCGGCGCTGCAGAGGCTGTGGGCAGCTTCGCAACCCAGCGCTCAACCGCTGCGCCACCAGGGAGGCCCTCCATTTATTTTTAGATCCAACTCTATAGTTACTGGAGCCACAGGGTGTTCTCTAACTAACCCCACTACCTTGGAACCAGTCTCTAATTGCTCTTTTATGTATGTCTTGCAGTCTTAGGGTCAGAGGTCATGTTCTTTATTTCTTTTACATCACATTGTTTAGTAAAGTGTAAGGTATATAGTAAATACTAAATGAATAATGAGAACAATTTAAAGATATCAAGTATGGTTTATCACTTAGAATTCCAGAAGAATAAGAAATACTTAGGATGTTCGTGACTTCTTGACAAGAGTAATCAAAATTAGAAACAATAAAATGTTGAAAAAGAAGTCTGTTTAGGTACAGGGCTCAAGAGAATGTGAAGTACATATGCAGAAGGGAGTGCTCATTAAAGGCGTCTTAATTCAGAAAAGACCTAGTTAAAAATATGGTTACAAGCTGAAGTCAGGCAGCCAGTAGGGATAGGGATTTAAATTATTAGAGAGTAGGCCTCTTCTGCTCCCCACTCTGTCTCTGGTGAATCCTTCACACCCCTGCCCCTTGCACCTCTGGCCTACACCCCAGTTCTTGTATGCATAAATACTTAAAAATAAATCTTCAAAAAATAATAAATAAATTATTAGACAGTAGGTGAGAGCTAGGATTTTTGTTAGAGAGGGAAACCTGTGTGTAATAGAATTGGAAAAGAGTAATTTGAGGTTTTCTGCCTGGTCTGAATCTTGAGGAAATGGAATTCAGAGTTACCAGTTCAGCTTCAGATCCTGTACAATTCATTTCCACCTGTCATCTCAGTTGAGGCTGGGTTTTCCCTAAAAAGCAAATGTGGGTGCTCTTGGTAGCTATTCCCCTCCCCTTTTTTAAGCTTCTGAAAGATTTTTGTGTAGCGGGGGCTGGGTTATTTTTCTGTTTTAACAAAGGACTGTAGTGGGCTGAAGCCGAGGAGGCAAGATTTAAATTAAGGATACAAAAGAATTGCCTGTGCTGGAGGGTTGTTGGATTTTGAAAAAGTGAGTGAGGGAGATTTTGAAATCGTGCCTCAATTTGAGTCATTAATCCAATTTGGGTTATGTATTTTCTTTTGTAGAAACTATGGGTAAAGTGACCAGCAGCTTTGGTGTAGTTCTCAGTTTTTATAATTACAAATCTGAATCCTTCTGTCTCTAATTTTTCCTGAAGTTTTTCCTCCTGTTTGATAGTATGGTGGTCTTTTAAACCTTTTAATCTGTGGCTCTAAGGACAGTTGGGTAGCTGAGTTTGAACCCAGGTATTTGTATTAAAACACTTCAAATTGGTAGTGGGGAAACACTCCCCATTTGGTAGTGGGGAAACTCATTTGCAAAACGTATGTGGATTGTTTATTCTAATTTGGTGGCTCTCAACTTGGGAGAGGGATCGGGATATAAACCTGTGCAGTATTTTACAATATACATTCCTGAGTCCTGTCCTAGCTATTTGGAATCAGGACCTCTGAGGGTGGGGGTGGTGGGTGGCGGTTAGGGTTTGATACTTACCTAGAGATTAAGTTCCAGCAGCAGCCCACTGCTGGCTTTCAGAGTCCCGTGTTAGATGCTCTGCGCTGAAATCTGTTGTCATATTCAAGTACTCATTGAAGCTTCTTGAGAGTATATAAATCTAGCCACTGCAGTTTTTCTTTAGTAGTTTTTAATCTTTTCTGAATCTTGTAGATTGATTGCTCTTTTAGCTGTTATGTCATGGAGAGGGTTGACAGAGCTACACTGCTGTAGGGTCACCATTGCTTTACTAAAACAGATCGGCAGCAATTTCCTCTGCGGCCAGAAATAGGAAACTTCATGATAATATATGAGTCCTGATCTCCTAGTCACTGTTCCATTCCCCACCTCCCGTGGGACCATAAGAACCAATGGTTTTTGTGTTTAATAATCGCTCCCTGGACGCGGCATAGGGAATAGACGACCACGAGCCCATGCTCCGGGGGCTGCAGCCCTGCTCCTCACGTGCCCTTGTGAGTGAACTTGGGCCAGTTCTCGCTGAGTTTCCTCTCTCATATATTCTTCAGTTACAGCTTGAAAGTATCTTGAGCGCCTTAAAACCAGAGGTGTGCAATGAAACATGTGAGGT